TTCGTCATTGTGTAGTAGGTGAGTTTTAATTTTAGTAAAATTTAAAATAGTATAAAGTAAATGAAATTACAAATTTTACAGCGCCCCCCTAACCCACATCAACGCCCCCCATTTTCTCGTGGGCCCCTTAACGCCCCCCTCTAGGTTTCAAACGCCCCCCAGGGGGCGTTATCGCCCACTTTGAGAAAGACTGGCTTAGATGAATGGACGAGCTCACAGCCCACCTGGTATTAAGTAGTTACTGGAGCCCATAGACATCTACAACGTAAACGCGCCACCCACCTTGAGATGTAAGTTCTAAGATCTCAGTATAGTTACAACGGCTACCCCACCCTTCGAACCGAAACGCATTACTGCTTCACGGCGGAAATTAACACAGTTAACTTAAGAACTGTGTTGTGCGTCCAGATCACTTGTTAAGTTTGTAATATCAAGAACATTAGTTTCCCGGGCGGATTCCCGCATCTAGCCCACGATGTGTGGCCACGAGCGTGACGTGTGAATCGAGAATCAGGAAAAGCACGCTTTAATAATAACTAGTGGTCCCGCAGTAGTCGAAATTCGACTATAATTTTTAAAATTATAAGTTTCAATATTATTCTGATTCTATTGTCAAATTATATAATCACAGATTTCGCCAAGACTACACTTTAGGAAAAATATGAATAAAGACAAACAATATTTAATCTATTCTCAATTTCACCACAGACTATAAGCAATATGAAAAGTTTGACAATAAACAAATAGTATGCATGTATGCGTGTGTGTGTCAAATACATCGTAGTGTGTGTAATGTTTTATTTATTGATTGAATGTTTTATTAATGCATACTTAATTAAAAAAGAATATTTGCATTCTGCACTCCTCTATATTCTCTATAAGTGTGGGAAATGTTTGAATTCTCCGACCGCGCAATTTTCGTAAAAAGGCGTACAAAGTTTTTGCTTCACGTATTAATATATACATGAAAATCAAAGTAAACAGTTCTGTTCGGTCAGGATGTGCCCAAACAAAACTAATAACAATATTGTAGTGCCGTCAGTCCTTGAGACGTGTGCAAATATTCAAGGTAATCGGAAGTCATTGATAATCACCTTGAAAGATTAGGTTACATAGACAGGCCCTTATGCGTATTTCTGCTCAAAGCATTCATGCGGTTCTGTTAGAAGGGCTTTATATAATACAGCTTAGATTTCCACCTCATGTCCCAAGATGGGTAGAGAGTTTCTCGTTACCATGACCTTCAGTATTCATGTAACATCAGGAGGACCGTCCAAAAAAATCATTAAAAAAAAACATACATTACTGGTGGTAGGACATCTTGTGAGTCCGCGCGGGTAGGTACCATCACCCTGCCTATTTCTGCCGTGAAGCAGTAATGCGTTTCGGTTTGAAGGGCGGGGCAGCCGTTGTAACTATACTGAGACCTTAGAACTTATATCTCGAGGTGGGTGGCACATTTACGTTGTAGATGTCTATGGGCTCCAGTAACCACTTAACATGAGGTGGGCTGTGAGCTCGTCTACACATCTAGGCAATAAAAAAAAAAAACTCCAGGTCGAGAGCTCGTCTACCAATCGCAAGCAGTAAAAAATCTTATGGCAGAAATGGAAAAGAGTAATACCTAACGGTAGCAGAATCAGTGGTAGAGGAGGGGTTTGTGGAAAGTCCCGAAGTAAGATCCACATTATTAAAGCCAATAGACATTCCCGACTAAGAATAACTAAGATTTTTTTTGGTAATCATCACGGCGGCTGCGCTTCCTTGTTTAGTCACAGCGCTACATCCGGTGACCTCGTGATCTGGTCTTCCTTGTACAGATTCGGCCACTTCCTTCAACTCGAGGAAGGTGAGCCTTCGAGCTCTAAAAAAGGATTCGTCTTTCGAAATACTTTTTCAGATATTCCTGTGTCTAATAAAAGGACGCTTGAGTTTTTGTTTTCCTCGTAATTATAAGACTACTAACCTTACCTGTCCGCTTCGCTGGGCATTTAAGATTAACATTATTATTTCTCACCCCCACAAAGATTCTCATCATTAACGCCCCCGCAACTGGTGTAGGGAGTCCACCACTCGTATAAATATTAGCCTATCCATTAAGTACATGTATTTTCTACATGGACACCAAGTTTCAAGTCAATCGGATGCATGGTTCAGTAGTTATAACGGAACATCCGTAAAAACCACTGTAGATTTATATAATAGTATAGATTTTTTTAAATTTTTTTTTTAGGATTGATAAAACTAGCATTGAGTTTATAAGGTGATGTCTGTCATGATTTTCCGCCCATCAAATGCATATACCTACATTATCCTCGTATTTACAACTTACATTATGTGCTGCCATAACTAAGAGTTATAATATTTTTTTTATTGCCCTTGTAGGCAGACGAGCATACGGCCCACCTGATGGTGAGTGGTTACCGTCGCCCATGGACTTCAGCAATGCCAGGGGCAGAGCCAAGCCGCTGCCTACCGAAATGTAATATGTGCATACAAAGACTAAACAATAGTGCAGCCAGCGACATCTACGGTAAGGCTATTTGGTTAGGCTTATTTGGTTTAAGCAACATTTTTCCAACTTTACAGGACGCTTAAAGTTCTCAATTTGGAAAAAAATATCATGACAAAAAAATATCTTCGGATATTTGAGTGTCGTAAGCTTTATTGAAATACAATTAAAAATATAGGTTCGTTGATCCTCCTCCTTGCGTCGATAATCCTCAAGCTGAGGCTCGTGACTTCCTCTAATAACTTTCTCCTGGATTATCCTGCGCCATTTCTGCCGCCACCTACCACGAGACATAAGTCCTAAGTCTCAGTTTTAACAGTACAACGGCTGCCCCACCCTTCAAACCGAAACGCATTACTGCTTCACGGCGGAAATAGGCAGGGTGGCGATACCTACTCGTGCGGACTCAATATGTCCTACCACCAGCAATTACGCAAATTATAGTTTTGCGTGCTTGACTTTTATTACACGATGTTTTATTCCTTCACCGTGGAAGTCAATCGTGAACATTTGTTAAGTACGTATATCATTAGAAAAATTGGTACCCGCCAGCGAGATTCGAACACCGGTGCATCGCTACATAGGAATGCATCGGACTTCTTATCCTTTAGGCCATGTCGCTTACAACCAAATAGTCTTTCACCTCTCGATATGGTAATAATTCTACCAAGCGACATAATCATTTTAACAAATTTATTACGGCCAACTGTCACATTAACGAGTAAACATTAAATCTCGTCAGATATCGGTCAATGGTTTGTTGAGGAACGCTGAGTGGCGAGATAGTCTAGTCACACGAACTGATAACAGTAATATCTCGAGTGCAAACCGTAATGAAATTCATTCGGACAGAGCCGTAACAAGTAATTTTTATTTTTTACCCAACGTACGTTTTTTTTTTTTTTTTTCAGTTAATACCATACGTTTTGTTAGTATTACTTATAATCTATTGTTACGCGCTGGGGTTCGGTATAAATAAAAAATCTACCGAAGTACAAGTTAGTTAGAACTTAGAACACTTAAAATTAAAACAATTCACAAACTATTTGAAATTCTCANCAGAGCCGTAACAAGTAATTTTTATTTTTTACCCAACGTACGTTTTTTTTTTTTTTTTTCAGTTAATACCATACGTTTTGTTAGTATTACTTATAATCTATTGTTACGCGCTGGGGTTCGGTATAAATAAAAAATCTACCGAAGTACAAGTTAGTTAGAACTTAGAACACTTAAAATTAAAACAATTCACAAACTATTTGAAATTCTCAATTCGCTTCTTCCGCTTCGCTTCAGGTGATCCGTTCGCTGTTTCGCTTCGTGTAGCTCTGATTACTGACTAACTGCGTGCCATCTCTGCAACGCTTTTATAGCCGATAACACATCCCTAGATTTATCGAGAACATTCTGGGCAAGTCGAGTACCTTCGATGTGTGTTTCCGCTATCTGACAATAGATGACGTTATACTTCTCGAGCCTCCTCGGTGCTACGAGTTCCATTGATATTCGTTTCGGTTATTCGGCGATAGATGGCATTGCTCTTACCGGCGTAATAATAACTTAAAAAACCTAAGTATTAACATTAGTATCTGACTGTTTTTTTGAGTCTTTCCCCAAATGCCTAGTGCAAAGGCTATTTACCAGAAGTCCCTCGATATGATGCTCAGAAGACTGTTGCCACTGTCACGCATTCGACGCAATAACGATACACTTTTCTTCTGCATTATTGCAAAGAAGTCAACTGTGTGAGATGTCGCAAGCAAGTAATGACTGTGGGATGAAAAATCAATTAATTTTGATCGAACCAATCCCAGTGGTGTTTAGAGAACCCTTTTTTTTGTTGCCGTAATTAGACAATTTGCTAACACTAGTCCTAGCAACCGGATCCGAATCGCGACCCACTGAGAAGAACCGGCCAGAAACTCTGTGGGCTAAGCACGTTTTTGTAATGCCAATAACTACCTTAGTCAACCGCGACCACGGAAACTGTAAAGCATTCTGGGCGCTGGAAGTAATGTGATGATAATAAAAAAACTATATACTTTTTTTTTATTGCTTAGATACGGCTACGGCGGCGGAGTTAGAGGCGGACGAGCTCACAGCCCACCTGGTGTTATGTGGTTACTGGAGCCCATAGACATCTACAACGTAAATATCGCCACTCACCTTCAGATATAAGTTCTAAGGTCTCAGTATAGTGACAACGGCTGCCCCACCCTTCAAACTGGAACGCATTACTGCTTCACGGCAGAAATAAGCAGGGTGGTGGTACCTACCCGCGCGGACTCTCAAGAGGTCCTACCACCAGTAAAAATATTTTTTTTAATTAATATTAATAATTTGTAAAAGGTATGAGGTTGTAAAGGAATGTGAGATATCCGAATACTAAACACACTACGTCCCTGTAACAGTGACATCAAAGCAAGCCTTAGTCATTATATTCTCGGATTACAGCGAATAATTTTCATTCATGATTTCATTTTGATTGCAGATCCGAAAGACGCTGAGGCGATCGAGAAAGTTCTAATACAGTCGGTAAATAAATCAATAATTCAACAATACGATGCGGTGATAATGTGTTTTCAAAATAATAGTAGGTGTTGTTCAAACAGTTTTAATAAAAATCCTAGAATCCAAGTGAAGTGATATAAAATTGATGTGTTGTTTGGATTGAGTTCGAAATTCAAAAGTGAACGCTTAAAGTGAGTTTCCGATTGTTCCGAAATCAAAAGTGTTTCCAAGTTTAAAACGAGTTCGATTATTCCAAATTCGAATTTAAGTGTACCCGATTAATCAGCGGTGAGTTCGTGATTGTTCCAAATTTGATTACTGAGTTCGCTTGTGTATGATGAGTGGCGAGTATGGGTGAGCCTCAAAAACTGCACAAGACTTGTGTGAGAGTCGGCTCCGCTGATGAAGAGGAGGCGAGGGACGAGGTCGACGGAGTCCTGCCAAAGAAGAATCCTTTTGTTAGGGTGAGTTAACTTATATTACAATTAAACGTTTTCTACTAAGTACCTATTAGCAAGTAAATACCTTGGGATTGCGGTAACGCAGGGGAACATTACAAAATTAATTTCTTAAGTGTTGACATTAGAGCACTTGTCGTTACTGTCCATCCCGACAAAATCCCATCTATTTGGTGATGAAAGATCTACAGTTAATGGATTCTTGGTGTCAACAAGCTAAGCGCGCCTCAGAACCTACCGGCTTCAGATGAGGCCACGTATACAATACTTGCTGACAATGAAAGGGCTGAATTTAAATTCGTAACAATTGCAAATTGGGTCTTTAGATGATTATACTCTCTGTGGGACTAAGGTCGGGGGTTCGATGTAGGTCGCTATTTCTCTGGCCATTTAATATCTATATAAATATAGATCTCTGGTTCTCGTACAAGTAATTCTAATTTGGGAACAGTTGACCTTGCGGGATTGGTCTCCGAATATTTATTATCGTTAATTTACATAACAACACAGGTTCCCAAATCGAAATTCGTTCATGCTATAGACAGATCAGCAAACAGTAGTTCTGGCTGTAAGGGACTTTGCGCATAAACACAATGCCTTGTCTTCTTTAGTAGTTTTATTATAGTAAACGCCCTCTTCGTAACGCGCACTTTGAGAATCACTGGTTTGAATGTCTATAGAACGTATAATGCTGCAACAATATTGAGTCACCTATGACGCATGCCTCAGCGTACCGTGACATATTATATTATGCATTCTACATACAACTATTTCTTTGACGCCGCCTCGCGGTATCCACATGGTTGTCTTATCCGAATAGTTCACCCAAACACAGCCCACTGAGTTTCTCGCCGGATTTTCTCATTGGGTTGTGTTTCCGATCCGCTGGTAGATTCTGCGAAGCACTGCTGTGGCTGCAGCTAGTGTTAGCAAATTAGACCAGGTTAGAGCCCCGTGAGCTCACCAACTCGTTGGCTTAAGCTGGCATAACCCTTAAAGCTACCCGAGAATAGGTATAATAAAATACTGGATACACAAACTTTTAATCTCAATTTTTAACTTGATTTTTAATTCGAACAACGGCTATTTTATGGTTAACACGACATTTACCACGACTGCCAGCCGTGACCACGAAGACTGTAAGTATTTGAAACCTCCGAAATAATATGACAATAATAAACCCAAGATTAAAATTAGCAGTTTTGATTGGGTCTCGGACCCTTTTGATCGCGGAAACCGAAGAAAAGACTATAACAGCTATAATATCCTATGAACGACTACTTCTTCTAAGTTAAACTAGATGTTGGTTTTTTTTTTATAACGCCATCTTGTGTCTTTAAAGCGGTTAGTTGCCCTCAATTAAGAAAAATAGTATTATTATTCGCCAATAGATGTCGGGAAGAGTTGATCATTGAAAACACGAATAAAATAACATTTTCTAATAATAAATCGTAGCTAGATCGATTTATCGCCCCCGAAATCCCCTGTATACTAAATTTTATGAAAATCGTTGGAGCCGTTTCCGAGATTCAGATTATATAATCAAATTGCCTGCGACATATATACAAGAATTGCTCGTTTAAAGGTATAAGATAGGTAGGGCTCTGGTCAACGCTACAACCCGCTTCCGCCACTAGTCAGCTTAGGTAGAGAGAAGACCAAAGCCATTCACTATGCTACCGAACTCAGTTCGCTAAGTTTCTGCGGCCTTATTTGCGATAATGAAAAAGTACGCCAAAAACTATATGCCAATATCGAACTCTGATGATTCCGATCAAACGAGCAACTGTCACGTAACGACTCAGCCAATCACTGCAGGGCTGTCACTTATTTAAAAAGTCGTATGAAATTTCTTGTAAAAAAAATTATAATTGGAAGTGCAACTTGATAAAAATGTGGCAATTTAATTGCGATTTAGTGTTAGAAATTGAAGGTAATTCCAAAAAATTGTTCTATGGTTATTATAAGGAGATTGGTTGGGTGGCTTGAGCACAATGAGTTGCTCGCCGGATCTTTTCCGTTTGGCGCGTTTCCGATCCGGTGGTAGATTCTGCGAAGCACTGCTCTTGCTAGGGCTTGCTTTAGTGTTAGCAGCGTCCTCAGGTTTGAGCCCTGTGAGCTCACCTACTTTTTAGGTTACGATGACATAGCCTCTTAAGGTAAGACAATTTAAACAATTTATTTACAATTTAAACAATTAAAACAATTTGTAAATTTTTTTTTTTCTATTAGTTATTAAGAATTAAATATTTTTCAATAAAAAGTGATATTGTGATTTTAAAATATATTTCTGGGATGAGGAATAATATTCGTAAATCTATTCTTGCAGCACTTCTAACCCAAGGACTACTTCAAAATCCTTTGCCTCGTCTGCTGATTGGCCGATATGTGTTTATTAATAAATTAAGTTCAGTTTTATTATATTATTATGTATGGTTCGCTCTTAATATGTATAAGTTTTAAAGTTAAAGTTAATGTACCTTCCCGAACGGAAGCACAAGTGAATCACTATCAAACGAACGGCTGCCAGCCCTGTCCTCACGTAACCAGTTACTAATAGGGCTGCACTCATACACATTTTTTTCTTCGAGTGGGATTTCTTTTTGTAATTTGAAATATGCAACGCTCTTGTGCAGCGATTTGTGTTGCAAAAAGGACAAAGAATGTCTCGCTGTACATAGTTGCACGTTTTTTCCGCTTAATAGAAGTCTAGGAGCCATACAAAAAAAACTCGAATATAGCCATCATCGCTGCCAGGAATCTTTTTTTAATTAGTTAGTTTTTTTTTAAATTAGATAGTTGAATGAGCTCACAGCCCACCTGGTGTTTAGTGGTTACCGGAGCCCATAGACATCTACAACGTAAATGGCGCCACCCACCTTGAGATGTGAGTTCTAAGGTCTCAGTATAGTTACAACGGCTGCCCTACCCTTCAAACTGAAACGCATTATTAGGCGGGGTGGTGGTACCTACCCGTGCGGACTCACAAGGGGTCCTACCACCAGTAATATTCAACGTGTTCTTTAATGCTCAAACATAGCGAGGTATTTCATTAACAATGATAGTTGCATTAAAATTACTGTAGTAATTGCCAATTGATAAAAAAAACTTTAGTTAGTTTGTAGTTTCGGTTTGAAAGGTGGGGCAGTTGTTGTAACTATACTTGAGACCTTAGAACTTATATCTCAAGGTGGGTGGCGCATTTACGTCGTAGATGTCTATGGGGTTCAGTAATCACTTAACACCAGGTGGACTGTGACCTCATCCACCAATCTAAGCAATAAAAAAAAAGTAGTGTCAATAATATCTTCTCTAGATTTTTTTTTTGTCAATAAAGAATGAATTATTGATTTCTTGTAACGTAAACAGGTGCGCTGTGATGTCTATGGACTTCAATGATGGCTGAACACCAGATGTATTCCATCTTCATCAATTAATCATAAGTTCATTAGAAAAGTGAAACGTAATTATTTGAGGGCGTGGCAGCCCTACCGCTGAGGTTGTTGTCCTACTAACATCAAGTTTTTGTCGGCAGTCAACGTCTCCCGTCTCACCGGCACATTAAAATGTCTCATACTTTTTGTTTTAATTATTTGAATAAACCTCGAAAATTTTCCTCATATTGAGAAAGCTAATGATATTTCTTTCAATAAGCTATTCAGTAAATGACGTCAATTTTCATCATCCATACGATACAAGGCGAATTAATGAGTATGATAAGGGATTTATTATTAGCGCGCCTATTTGTCCTGTTTATTTTGATTTCGTGTTTAGATAATTGGATTTTTCAGCCTCAAACCGTCTGCTCATTGTATACGGGATTTCTAATCTCTATTTCTAAAGGCTGCGAAAAGTGGTTTCGATTCATCTGATGGCGCTGAAGAGTGTCGAGAGCCCGGTATGGGTTGAACCACCAGTCGGTGTGAAGGGTGAGACAGACATATAATTGGAATTTGGCCAAAACGTCATCATCTATCATCTTCATCTATATTTATAAAAATGATTGAATGGCTGTTCGTTAGTCTTGCTAAAACTCGAGAACGGCTGGACCGATTTGGCTAATTTTGGTCTTGAATTATTTGTGGAAGTCCAGAGAAGGTTTAAAAGGTAGATAAATATGATAATGCTCAGAATTAAATAAAAATAACAATTTTGTTTTCCCTATGATGTGTCCCCCGTCGGACGGATTCCTTTTGTTTGTTTTAAGTTTATTTTATATGAAAGTTTAGGACTTTTATTTATTGATTGAGGCACAACGAAGTCTGCCGGGTCAGCTAGTTAAGGATAATAATTAATGTAAGAAAACCAATAACTGCTCAACATTAAAGGGTTTTGCGACTCACAGTTCGCCAACACTCACCATGTCCTGGTCCCAGGACTTTTTATCTGTTCCTGTCTGAATTACGTCACTAATTAGTATTATCAACGCTGTCGAAATTATACTAAATAAGGTATCGAACAAGCTTCATTACGCGACTTTTTCCATGAGCGTTGAAGTGCTTGCACAACATTCCGTATGAATTGACGTACCTACCTGAGATGTATGCTTAAGGTGTGATTCAGAGCTCGCCGACAAAGAGCAGACATCAAGTAGCTTCAGCACTGGAAATACACACGTACCCCTCTTTAGCAAAGTTATTGTCGCGAAAATCAGGAATTCCTCAATAGGTAGTTGCTTATCTGTGTCTCTGGCGTTGCTGATGTCCATGGGCGACAACGACCCACTCAATGACCGGCTCACTGTCGAGTAAGCCAATTGCCCTTGTAGGCAGACGAGCATACGGCCCACCTGATGGTGAGTGGTTACCGTCGCCCATGGACTTCAGCAATGCCAGGGGCAGAGCCAAGCCGCTGCCTACCGCTTAATACTCTCCACAAGCCTCGTTTGAAGAAGGACATGTCATAGCGCTCGGGAATCACCGTGCAGGAGAGCTCATTCCATAGCCGGATGGTACGTGGCAAAAAAGACCTCTGGAAACGGACTGTGGATGACCGCAGTGGCTTCA